TTCGTGGTCTCTGCCAGTCCCAGCTCGGAGCGATGCTGATGCTGCACTTTGCACGGGGACAGCATAGTGCTAATGCGGCGGATCGTGGCACCCTGGCCCGGAGGGGCAGCAGTTCCTGCTGGACGCAGAGCTCTGGCATCAGGGAGCAGCTGCCTCTCCAGACCCTGCAGCTCCCTGCTCCCGGCCCTGAGCCAGCCCTGCTGCATTGCAAATCTGCTGATGTCCCAGCTTTGGCACAGGCCTGTCTGTTTTGCTGACTCTGCTTCAAGCCTTAGGTATGCTAGATCTCTTGTATGGAGTCTGCTTTGTGAATCTGGGACGTGGACAAAGATGTCTTCATAACCTAAGAACTTGAAGCACTGGCTAAAGTCATTCAAACTTGACGTCTGTTATTTCTGACGTGACTCGAGCTGCGCCAGTGCTGGGAGGATGGGTTAGGTTATGCCTACTTAAGATTCAGGTCAGTTCCATGCAAATTTCTCATTCAGAATCCAGACACTGGGTCTTTTAAGAATTTGCCTGACCCATATAAGGCTAGTCTTACTCCTCTATAGCCAGATAAAGTTCTGCACTAACTTCGAGCCAATTAGTCTTATCCACTGTCTTTGCTGCTGCTGCTTTTCTCTGAAGCACCCATTTCCTAACTATCGGTGCAACACTTCTGCGCCATTCCTAGGACAAGCTTTACTGGTATGCAGTGTGTAGTGGGACCATAGTTCTTGGACTGAAAGCAGGGTAGAGGGCTGTTGAGAAAACATGGTTGTAGAAGTAGCTTAACGGGATGGGGAGGGTGACTAAAGATGATCCTGTCAGGCACATCAGCGGTTCTGTTGCATAGGGATTTAGTAACCATCTGACTGATGGCAAGGTGTTCTTGTTCTGATTTTGCCACAGTACTGTAAGCATTTGTCACGACACTGTCATTAGTTTCTGCAAGTGCTCTATTCTACGTTAACTAGACTCTAGCATGGTAAAACTGCCTATTAATTTTTATCTTCTTTTCTTACAGTAAAAAATGGCATTTCAGAAGGCAGTAAAAGGAACTGTTCTCATTGGAGGAGGTGCCATAGCAACAGTTTTTGGCCTCTCTCAATTTTCTCAGTATAGAAACAAACACGTAAGTATTAATTATGATTTCTGATAAAATATGAAACTTAAAATCTGTTTGAGCGTATGTTAGGCTTATACGAATAGTTTTGTTTGGAAAGGCATGCCAAGAGCCTCTCAGCTTGATTTGGTAGGTGCAAATCTAGAGGACAGCATTAAATGATGTTTCACTACTGTAGGCCTTTAAGCATTGGGAAAGTATGATTCTTGTAAACCATATTTAATGCTTTTGCTTAAAAAAGACGTTTGTATACTACTGGATCTTAGTTGCAGGAGTGGAATGTATTGACTGAAGTATAAACAGTAAAACAGAGTTTGAGCAGTTTTCAAACTTAAAAGCCTGAAGTAAAACCACTAACACTACCTCTGAAAATCTCAGCTTCCAAACCAGTAATTGCTACAGCTCTCATTGTGTTTGAAAAACTGAAAAGTGGTTTAGAATGGGATCCCTTTCCAGTGGAAAGGCTCCTGTTTCTGGTGGGCGTTGGTCTCTGCTTGGATGGGTGCGCTCTAGACACAGTTCAGTGGTATCTTTCAGGTAATTGGACACAATGCCAAAATAAAATCGGAGAGGTAAAGGGTGATGCTAAAAACATACTGTTAAAGTAAAATAGCGATGGCAGAAAGAGATGCAGTAGATTCTGATTTCAGTCTGTGGATGTAGGAAATAAATCCCCTTTGCACAGCTGCTCCTTCCAATAGCGTCAGAATAGCCCTCTTCGCCCCTGCCTGTTTTTTTCAGTGCAGAAGCCAAGGGGAAAGGCATGAACGTTGTGGACTGGTTTTAGGCAGGGCTGGTGCTGGTCAACAACTGTGCTGTCTTTGAGCAAATATATACTCATCATGTTTATACAGCTCTAAAGCGTAGCACAGTTGTAAAACAACTATGTCTGGGCTGAATAGATGTACATAAAGGAACATGTTTCCTGATGTTATGTTATGTGTAAGCTCTGAGGTTGGCACCTCACCTTTGGCAAAAAGTATTTGGAATCGATGTTCCGTGAGCTGTTCAGTTGAAGTAGGTGGTGTAGTGAGAGCTCTGATCCTACTTGCTTCCATTTGGGTTTGGAAATAGAGCTTAATTCCCCAGAGGCCACCTCCTTCCTTTGAGATGATATCAGTTTTGGTAGCTGGGTGAGCAGGTGCTAACTTTGTGTGGTGTTTTCTGTTTCTCATTTAAGAAATATAGTCAGCTCTTTATTCTATGAACTGCTTAGTTAATATACATTTACTATATGCTGCTGTTGAAATTGGGCAAACTGAAAATAGGAATCAAAGTGGATCTTACCATTCTAGTTTAAGAAAAACAGGGAGTGATGGGAGACAGTTTTCACTCACCTCCAGAAAGGTGAAGGTGTGTATTACTGAGGTGAAGGTGTGTATTACTGCTCTCGATAAATGATAATCTGAAACTTCTGGATGTTTCATGTGGAGGAGAAGTAGCAGCTGAGATAGTGGTAAAGCAAATGAGATGACTCATTCCTGGGGAACCTAGCCGGAAAGTAGATAAGCCAGAATCCTTGTAGCTTCAGATATACTGTTGCAGAAAATAAAATCTAGCATTTTAAGTGAGCTTCCCATTCAGCTGCCTGTCTTACACCTAGCTGATATTACTGCTTCTAGCTCTCTCTGGAATCTTCATCACAAGATTTTACAATCTGGCCTCATTACTGTCAAAATGGTAACTTCAGAGCTTTAAATAATAAGTGAAGGAGTTAGAAGGGAAAACAGATCTGGCTGATAAAGGTGGCCCTGTAACTAACTTGTTACATATATATAGTATTCCAGAATTCAGAGAATTCTCCATTTTCTGTCATTATTGGATTGTCATTATGAATTTCCTGAGCAAGATTAAAAAAACAAATCTTGAGAGAATTTGATCATAATGTCAAAATGAAATACCAATTGTCTCCTATTTCTGAACCTATTGCAATGTGTAGAGTCAGTCTACAAAGGATCTATGAAAGTGTCCAGCATATGTATAAGCAAATGGATCTGTCAAGTGAACAGCATGTTGTTTTCATGTTGTGCTAACTTGCACATTTCCCATGTGATGTCCCTTAAAGCTGCTGCCTTAAACACCTAATATAGGGCAGCAGGTGGAACGTAACTGGAGGGATTGACACAAAGGAGGACAGTCCATTTGTAGTGTTGACATATCTAAGCTGTGGGCATGTCCCCCAGCCCAAGTGTCCTCTTTTTAATAATGCCTGCCAATCAAATATATGCTGGGGCAAAGATCTTGTCTTCCAGTGCCAGGGAAGGATGTTGCCCCAAGACGTGCACTAATTGGCTACACGTTGTAAGAAATCTGTGGTTATTTCAAGAACAGGATCCATCCCATAAGACAGGAAGATAATTCAAGTAAACTAGCATGCTCACTTTTTTCCCCATGTTCTGAAGTATTTCCTCCCTCGCTCTGATTCTGGATGTCTGTGCTATGTATGGTTAGCACCTGGAACTTGGGGTGCCCTGATACAGAAAATTGAAACTTCTGCAGCAGTTAGCCTCGATTTTATTAAAGACATCAGTTGGTCAGTAGTCTTAAACACACAATATAGTTGATTTATTTTACTTTGTTTTCTGTGTTCATTCAGCAGGCGTTAGATCCATCTGTGAAACACTTGTTTGTCCGGGGTAATTCCAAGGGAAAACCTAAAGGATTTTGGACTTATGTATGTTTTAATTGATATATAATATCCACACACATATATATAGAGTGTGTGTACATTTTATTTGTATATGCTGACATTTTGGAGCATACTCTTGCAACAGCAATTGAGGCAATATAACCAAATAATATGTATCTGTGTATACATATACAGACATAAAACAGCTTAGTAAATTGCTCCTATTGTGTGTTGTTTTTTGACACACACGGTCCCTGCTGAGAAAAGGGAGGATGGGAACACGTTGAAATGGCAGAGCTCTAGCTGAAATTAATTCATAAGCTGATAGATGAATGTTGCACTTGTCCTGTATGGTGACCGGATCACTGGGATATTTACTGAAGTAGTAAGGTGGGTTCACTTAATAGCATGCTGTAAGGGAACAAGTAGAAATGACACTAATTCAAGCAAAATCTCTTTCCATAAACACACAGTAGTTGTTCTTTCATATTGAATAACTGTTAGCCTGAAGGAAGTTGGTTGAGCATTCTGTGTAGCCTTATTGACTTGGGCTGCTGAGGGCAAAGGGCTAGATTGAAAAGAAAAATCTTTTTTTCAGGGAAAAGGAAACATTTGGAGGACTCCTTACAGCTGGTAGTGCAAGCGTGTGAAGCAACTAGTCCCTTCTGAACTACTTTCAGATAAATGCAATTCTTTCTCTCTCTTTTTTTGTTGCTGTTATTGAATAAAGATGATGAATTTGACTTTGCAAACCTACCTGGAGATTTATGCTAGCTAAATTAACAAGATTGCTTGCTTATGGATTACTAGATCACTTTATAACTTCACCGTTGAATTCAAACTGCCAAACTAAATTTCTTCTTGCTAAGAGTGTAATCAAAAGCATTCAAGGAACTCTTGCCTGAGAAACTGAAGATATAAACAGCAATTGCTTATTTCAGTAAACATATGTGTTCACTGCCAAACTAATCACGTTATTGCAGATTGGATCCCGGTATGCAGCTCTTCAGTCTCACATTTAATTGACAGCAAGATGAATCATATCTGTAGCAGTTCCTAGTGTACTAATCACTGTGTGTGTATAGCAGTTTCTAGTGTGCTCGTCTCTGCTCTTGCTGTACCAGTGGCTATCTACTTGGGCCTCTGGTCTGCGTTTTACTGTGAACCATTCGAAGTAGATAATGCTTTAAAAAAATAGTTAAATCAACTGATGTTAGTATTTCTTCAGCTTTGAATTTTGTTTTTTCTAGTATTTTCATACTTTTCTGAAGTTAAATCGAATTCTATGAAATTTGTTGATTCGTCTTGCTGAAGAAGGTGTGTTTGGAAGTTTAATGCAAAACAAATTTTTGAGAAGATATATATATATAAAATTTTTTTTTTTAAGTTTTAAAAAAAGCTGACTGTACCCAGTTGAATTTGAATATACTTGTAGCTTCATCTTGTATATGTTTTGGTTGATCAGTCTTTCAAATTTAATTCTTGTCACTGTTCTCTGCTAGTCACGTGGCGGTATTTAGGGAAACTAGGAAATTGGAATCGGTTGTTGTCTGTTTATAGTCTCTGTAATTATACAACACTAAAAAGCATGCTTAACGCAACCAATTGCTGAATTAAAAACGGAGAGAAAGTAGGAAGCCAAACAGTGACACTGGCTATTATCTTGCCTATGCAGCTGGGAAATCTGTGGTGTTGTCAGTTTTCGGATATTCAGGGGAAAACCCCTGCCTTTCATGAGCTGTTCTTCCGACCCCCTGTTGGGGGGAGCCCGCTGACCTGTGGCCCGAGGCGATCGCAGGGCGCTCCTTCCAGGAGCAAGGGCAGGAGAAGCCCGCGCGCAGCGGAGGAGGAGGGAGCAGAGAGAAACGGCACCCAGTTCTCGGCTTTTTCCTCCTCTTCGCTGCAATTCCACAAGAAAACACTTGGATGGAGCTGCATCGCAGGGTAGTGCTTTGGGAGGTTTAAACGTTTCTGCTGCTGCCGGAGACAAGTAGGCAGGGGCAGGGGCACGAGACAAAAGTCAGTGGGAACGTGTGGAATTTGTTGGTCAGAAAAGTTATGTAAAAATGGCATTTCTTCAAAGTGCCAAGATTTCATACCTCGTTTGGTGAACATTGCTCCCTCCGACGTGTTTACATACTAATATGTGGCAGCTGGCAAAGAATAGAATTGAGAGGCTAACCAAGATTCACCGGTAGTCGTCATTTGGCTTAGCCTTTCTGGGATCTCTGTGCGTTGCGTAACTCCTTGAACTCCAGGGTTTGCAGCACGCATGTCCCTACTTGAGGATTGCAGTGAATTTAAACAAATTTTACATTGAGAATTAGTAAAAACATTTCACTCATAATACTGCTGAAGAGCGAGCTAATAATTTTGGGTGAAATTACTTGGGATGTATGAACCATTGAAGCTGAGTTTAGGCTTCCTTTGCATGGCCCTGCCGGCTGTTGATTTACAGCAGATGAGTTGCAAGAATCACTCGGACCCTTAACCCACAAGGACTGGTTACACGGCTCTTTATGGCAACCAGTGAATGACTTGCTTAAGAAAACTGCACTGTTTGGCTAGATATCTCAAGGAAAACCATTCAGCCATGGAGGTGAACAGATGGCTTGCGAGTGACTGAGCTACCTTTTGTCAGTCAAGCTATTTTAGATGTAGCAGGTGTATGTTTCTTTTCCATTGCGAATGCTAGGAAAGTGGTTTGAGTTCTTGAAACCTGAAGGTGGCTTATGTTAACACATAGCTTTTCATAACTGCAGTGGTCTAGAAGCATGTATTTGGGGAACTCAGCATGACAGCCAGCAGTGATAATGCATTGAGGCAGGGTAAACAATTTTTGCGCTTGTTCCTGTTCACATCACGGGATTGCACTTAGGTGTTTCGATAGTGTTGTAACTCACAGTTAACAGTGCAAAAGGCAATAAAATTATTTCTATAACTGAACAGCTCATATAATTCAGTTTATCCAAAGGAATTTTGGAAGTTAAGATATAAATGATAGAAATCCCTCACCGGTGTCAACTACTGTGAATTATAAGCTGTTGATGGAAAGAGGTTAGACAAATAGCAGATTGTTTTAGAGGATTGTAAGAAGGTATTGTAAGAGGATTGTTAAGAAGGTATTTGCATTATTTACTTTTTCCCTTTCCAGGAGATCTACGCACAAGCCACGTTACATCAGTTAAATTACCATTTGGACAAAAGAATGGATTATGCTGAGACCTTAGAGGCTACCGAGTTTAAACAATTATTTTCTCGGGTGAAAAGTGTGCACTTATAATTGCAACATGGGTATTCTAGCTCACTGGCGAGCACCTTAACTGTCCTCCTTAAGGTCAAGTGTCCAGGCTTACGAATTATTTATGCAGAGGTTTTTGTCTTCCAGATGCACTTGTATACAAGTGATTGCTCTGTGGCGAGACAGGTCCTTTACATCTTGGGGCAGGGGAGGAACAGTGTTAAGCAAAGTTCCAGTTTTGTGCAGAACGAAAGGCAAAGGTGAATGAGAATTTGAGGAAAAGAGAAGGAGCTGGGACAAAAAGCAAAGCTGGAGCTGAAAGCAGGGAGAAAGCAAGCATAACTGTTGTGGTTTGGCATCTTATCTAACTAAATAATTATGATACCTGGCTATAGCCCATTGTGCATACAATTAGTATAATGACCATCAGAAGGGCTTTAGAACCCACAACGATAGCTCTGGTAACATAGATCATGAAGTATATGGGTAGGGCTTGGGGGGATTCCTGTGACTGTAAAAGTTTTCAGAAGGTTTTTCTGTTCAGATTGCTGTTGACTGACCAGAACCTTCAGAAACTAGTTAAAACCTTGAAACTTAAAGCCATGGTCCATGTTAATGGCCTGAGTAAGCACGTCAGCCTTTCTCCCTAGCGTCGCTAAACTGAGAGCAGAGGTGGCTCACGGAGTATCTATCGGGCAGTGTGCTAGAGACAGTTATATCCTCAAAGCCTTCAAGTAAAATCTGAACTTGTCTGGAAATTGCTATATCGCTAAGTTTTGTCACTCTAAAGAAAAATTGTATTTTAGCACAGTCTGATATAAATTCCTTTTGTTTTTAAGATTTCTTTTAAAAAAAAAATCTGAAATAATATTTTGGAACTGTTTTGTTTGGTGTTTTTAGAATACCATCTCTGGCTGCGAACTATATGGTCTTATGAATCGGATCAGATATGAGCTTAGATGAATGCCATTGTGCAAGTAATCAATTTAAAATATAAAACAGACATTAATCTTATGTTTAGTGTTTAAAACAAAATAAGTTCTTTGGATTTTTGGTGAAGAGTTGAAAGCCGAACAAATTATGTGTACATTTATTAAAATACTTCTCAAGCATCCTGTAGCCTTCTACATAGAAGGCTATTTCTAAAAGTAATTATTACAGGTAATAGCCCTTGCATACAGTTTTATACTGAATTATGCAAGGTGAAGTAAGTGTATGCTGACCCTTAATGTTTTTAATGTTGTTTGTCACTGCTTAATGTTTTAATACAGTATTATTATTAGGTATGAAAAGTGACTTGGAATGTTTGAGTATATCTTTGTTTATAAAACGTGCTGGGAATTTTGTTGTATGTGTACATATATAAATGTATAGCTGTATACATTATATATAAAAATGTATCTATTTATAAAATAAAGGCAGATCCCCATGTTTTGTTTTTTAATCTTTGTAGGACACTTTTGTGTATGTTCAAGCTGCAGAACCTGTGACTGTTCCAATAAAGAACTATTTTCCCACAAGAGAACAACAACTCTTGACACTACAGTCTACAAGTGAATTTGATGTTCTTGTTATAGGCGGAGGAGCAACAGGATGTGGCTGTGCTTTAGATGCAGTAACTAGAGGTGAGACTTGAAAATCAACTGCATTTTTATTCTTGGGTTACACGGTTTATTATACGTTGATCAGACTGGTTTTTAAAGCTGCTTGAAAATAGAGAACGTGTACCCTGAATGCCTGGTTGTATAGCTTCGTCCTTTAGATGTCAGAAGCTAAAATGAGCTTGAAGGAGAAAACGGAGTTAGGTTTCATTGTTTTAGCATATTCTTTATTGTTTAGGTACTTGTACACAATTGTTCACATTAACATGACATAAGCTTTTTTGGTGGTTGCTCTGGAGTGGACTTTTTGTTAATTCTCCATTGCTTCTTACTCTGTGGCTTATGTGTACCCACATTCTGCTTGCTTGTGCAGGAGAACGTCTGCAGCAAAGATGACAAGACTTGCAGAGCGCTTTCAGCAAGGTTTTTTTGTTGGTTTTTAAGGGCCAGGCTAAGTGTGAATCCTAGATGAGGCACGGTGCCTCTCAAGCTCGTATTTCTTACAGCATGAGACATCTACAACTTCTGTTAATGCTTTATAGCTGCTCATTATACTGCAGCTGTAGAGAAGTCTGGATTTTTAGTGAAAGGTTTTAGTACCGTTCAGTCTGGCGATACTCACAGTGGCTCTGTGCTCCATTTTCTGCTCCCCTTTGAGGAATTAGCTGTGGCTTAAGAAGCCACTAGAAGCAGTGGAATAGCTCACTGGCTGCCTGCGTAGTCTTAACTTATGAAAAGCACAAGGTAAAATGAGTTTAAGCTAATGCTTTTTACCTGACTCCTGTGAGAGGATGAGGATGGGTATGCTGGTACGAGGTGGTGCCTGATAGACGTGTGGCAACTCAGTTCAGTCCCAGGCGTCAGTCCTGGGAAAAGCTGCGCTCAGGCCCGGCAGAGCTAGCGCCCACGCTGCCTGCCAGCCGCCTTGACGCTGGCCAACAGACAGTTCTCAAAGACAGTAAGTTATTTTACAAGTTTAACAAAAAAGGAGCCCCAGATGGAGAGGTGAGACTGCATGAGTTTTTTTTCTGAAGGAAAAACTGTAATATCAACTCCTGTTCTGTTAGAATGCCATATTCCCCTGGAATATCATATATTTATCCATAATGTTACAGAAAAGATTGTAAAGAAAAGCTTTCCTTGGAATATGTTCTCTCCACTGTTTGCACTAGAATCAGCCAATGAGAGAGAAAACCAACCTTCATTAGGTTTTTGTGCTTGTAAACTTTCTTTTTTTCTGTTTTTGGAATAAAATTAAAAAAAAAATCCTACTTTTGTTATATTGTGGGGGGGGAAATATATATGTAAACCATATAGAAAAAGGATGAATATGCATTACCTGTAATAATTTCTATATTTTCTGATTATATCAGTAGATTTCTGAAGTGTGGAATATTCATAGGCATTTAGTTAATGAATTGTGTGTTTTTGCTGTTCATTCACAGAATTTCCTCTTTAATTTTTGCTTCACTTGACAGCAAATTTTACTTTTCATGTGTTTGATACGTTTGCGCCAAATTATTCCTGATTGTATCCATTAATCTTCAGTCACATTTGACAAAAATAAATTACTCTGATCTTTGAAAGTTACCGGTAATAATTAGATCTTTTTGGACATGAACGTTTTGGGAGACCAATAGATACTAAAATGTGCATTCAGCAAGCAATAACATAAAGACCCCTCAATATATTTGTGTGATACAGGGTGAAAGAAAGACCCAAGGGATAACTGATAACACAGATAATTCTCCTGTCCTTGGTCGCACATACTCCTGCTGTTGCCGTTAGCTTCAGTAACAGTATCGCAGAATTTCATTCATATCTTTGCCTTGCCTGCCTTATTTTAGAAAGGTGCCAAGGTTGGAGGGGATCTGTTATGCTAATTTTGGTAACACAGGTTGTCCTTCTAAGTACATTTTATGTAACTGAAAGACTGCCACGTAGTTGTCCTGCGGTGCTTATCTTAGTTGGGGTTACTTACGCTTGTTGCTGGAAGCCGATGGTGGCTGTCTTACAGGTACAGGTGCCTAATGATGTGGCCAGGCTTGTTGGCTGTATCTTATCATGGAAAGGCATCTGTTTTGCACAGCTCCTCCCTTCGTCTAACCTGCATCACATAACGAGATATCCATCTCTTTCATAAAGACAATGCCAGCACTTTCCTCATATGAGGGACATCTGCAGTCAAAGTGACTGAAATACTGGGGTTTCACGGTGCCTTTTTATGGGGCACCATTCCTTCATCCACTGAAAGCTTTTCCCCCTCCTTCAGTGTACATAACTTGGGCAACAAAAGCATGCTAGCCTCTTTCCAGGAGTAGGTTTAGAATAAGCACCGCAGTGCGAAGTGTTCATTATAAAGCCTTTGTGCTGTGGAGGTCTGCAGGCTCTCGCGAGCCGTGCAGGTATCCCTGACTTGGGCTAGTAAAACTGCCCGTGCATGGCCGTGTCATGGACGTGCATGAGCACACAGAAGTATGTGTGCATGTCTCTTAACTAACGTTTCCTGTGTATACGTGTGCCCTGCACCTGTATAAGGAGGATGCCTGCATGTTGCATGAGCGCTGTACTGTGTACGTAGTATGTTGTAGATTAATTTAAGATTTTTCACTGTGCTACCATTGTTAGATAAGTTGTTATATTTTGTATTAAAACTCGATTGTAAAATAATTTCATCTGTATAGCGGAATTCTATGTATAAGTGTGCATCATATTTTCCTTAACTATATTGGATCCAAATGTAAAGAAAAACTAAGTAATAGAAATGACTTCTGAAGGACCGCAAACCCCAGAAAGTCTGGTTAGTGACAATGGCCGTTATTAACAACTGCAGAAGCTGAGATTCTGTAGTTTATCCATTGATGTTTGTTGCGTGTTGGCAATATGCTGTTTGTTTAATTTTACTGGTAAAATGAGCGTGTGACAAATTCACATTCAGACAAAAATGCAAGTAATGAATGACAAGAGTAAATGTTGGAAGTGTTTATTCACTGGCTTCCCAATAAAATCAGAGGGAGTTAGCTTATCTTTGAAAATTGGAACTATAATTCTTAACTGTAGGTTTAAAGCCAGTATAGAGAGTATGCTTTTGGGTAGGCAGATTGCTTGTGATGAGATGCTGAGTATGTGCTTAACCCTGAAAGATGGGTCTGAATTGGAGTCAGTCAGGCTCTGGAGCTCTGGGCGTTCCTTCTTCACCTTGGGCTTGGTCAGTTTCCCCCCCCCCCCCCCCCGCCCCCCCCCTTTATTTTTCTGTGTTACTCCTTAAGTAGCTTTTTTTGGAAACATTAAGGAAAATTTCTGTATTCTTAATCTGTAAAATAAATAAGATTGAACTGGAGCCCTGGCTTTCCGTTGAAGTTCACTTTGGTTTTTTTTTTTTTTTTGCTTTCAAATCTTCCTTCAACCACTTAAATGGTTCTTTCAGTGGGATAGTATTAGGGTTTGTTTGTGTTTTGGGTGGAATTTTTCTTTTGGATAAATGTTTGGAGAGCAGAATAATGCATGTGCATGGGTTCCCAAAGAGATTGTGGGGATGGTTTTAGACAGTTTGTCAGAATTTTGTGAGCTCTCCTGTGAGCCGCAAGCGCACCTCTGGCCGATTGTCCGTCGGCGTTGGGCTCCTCTTCACGTGAACTGTAAGAAGACAAAGATGACAGTTGTCTGCCTCTCTCTCGTGTGCTTGAACTGTTAATGTGATAGGCTTAGAGGACGTTGCAGCAAAGAGTTAAAAGTATTCATAAAAATATTCTGTTCCTGTTATGAATGCAAACTATAATCTGCTTGAGGGAGCATGGCCCCTATAATGTACTGTAATGCCTTTCTATTGTGAAATTTCCAGGTTTTAATGTGCTTCTGTTTAAGTTCTGTTTTGGCTTTTCCCCTAGGAGGAGGCTAAAATTTTTCATTACAATATAGACAGTGCACTGCACTTTGAATACAAAATTATCCATGTTCAGAGTAATTTTTCTTGTGATTGTCTCTACCCTAGAGAAGTGTCTTTAATGAATTACATACAAATTGTGTAATTTAAGAAGTTAATTTGGTTTTCTGGTAACACAGGACTAAAAACAGCCCTTCTAGAAAGAGATGATTTCTCATCAGGGACTAGCAGCAGGAGTACTAAATTGATCCACGGTGGAGTGAGGTATCTTCAGAAGGCCGTCATGAAGTTGGACTTTGAGCAGGTAATTGTTTATGCTGGTTGTTAAGCAAAAACTACTAGTAGATGCTTTCCCCTTTCCGTGTTATATCCAAGTTCTCTCTCTTTGTCCTTGACTGCCGTATTCCAGAACCACTGTGTATGGAAGATATTTTCCCCAGATGAGTTTTTTCAATTACGGAAAGTCAGTGCTGCTGCTTCTTGCTAAAGTCGCTTATAGTCAATCTAATTGCCACACCATGTGCACTGTGTATGTTGTTGGGAGGAAGGGCAGATGATTTCAGAATAAAAAGAGCTTCTTACTTCCTATTTGGTAGGAGTTTGGGGGAGGGAGTGCCTGTCCTATTTGTTCTGAAATGGGGAAAGAAAATACAGTAAGTGGATGACTGTATATAAATGTTTCAATGTATTTTTGTTAGTGTTGCTTTGGTCTGGTAGAAGCATGATGTTCTAGTTCAGAGAAATCAATTTGCTTCCTCATGGAAACATCTCTAAAACATTAATGTAGATATCACTGTAAAGGAAATAGTGATTTCTCAGGAAAAAAATTTCAAAAATACAAATATTTAGCTATAGAAATCAGCATCCATTTTTTTCCTAAACGAATTTGTATTATTGCTTCTGCATTTGCAGCTCAACATTAGTAGGGAACTTAATTGTGAGACTCAGAAAAGGAGTATTTTGGGATGAATTCTAAACTTTTTATGTGCCTTATGCCCATAGCGAAGAGCAACACCACTTATTGGGCTTTATGTTCAAATGAGAAAATAATTTGACTCACCTGCATGACACCCAGATGACTAACGAAACTAATTTACTTTAGAGGATTTCTGGGTAACTTTTGAATTTTTGAGCAAACTTCATTGTAGTATTTAAAGAATAGTAAAAATTATGTAAGATATTTGTCTTGAGCAGATTTTTTTTCATTAAATGTTCGACATTGTGACAGAATTGAATAACTTGGGATATATACACTTTTATTTTTCAGTACAAGATGGTGAAAGAAGCACTTCATGAGCGTGCAAATTTGCTTGAAATTGCTCCTCATTTATCAGCTCCTTTGCCTATAATGCTGCCTGTTTACAAGTAAGCTCTGCTATGATGCCTCTCCGTTAGCATTGCTTTTGACAAGCAAGCTATTTCCCTGGAGGAGTTTCTAGATGTCTCTTTTCAAGCATGTTTTTAAACCTGTCACAAGCTTTGTCCTCCAGGAGGTGAGAATTTGTTGCCACGTTGTAGAAGCGTGAAGTTCTCTTGTGGCACCAACCTACTAGCACTGCTGTCCAGTAGCACCTCTTGAACTTCAGCTTCTTTCAGTGGAGGTTTACCATTATGATGGATGGGGAGGGGAGCAGGTGTTGCAGCTGGCATGAATTTTCGTTCCCAGGAATATTATTCCCTATTCTTTCTCATACGTCCTTCTAGTCTTCAGCACATGCTATCACAGTGATCTTCGCAATGTACCTTTTTAGTCCTTACAGCCAGCAGTAACTCCTGTGCAGTAAGTCAGTGCATTTGCATTACCCAATACATGATAGTTTTCTACTGAGAGGATAATTATCTTCTGTCCCTTAAGAGAAAGGGAGAGGAAATAATTTCTTTAAATGGAGTGATTTGGGTTAGATTTTAGATCTCTAAGGACGGTTATTTACTAGAACAGACTACTTAGAGCATTCGGCTTTTTTTTTTTTTTTAATGTTCTGAGTGTATGGCCTTACCCCTGCCTTAATAGAGGGGACTTGAATAGCTGGTCATGTAGGTAAGTGGTGGACCGCGTTTATTTGATCCTGTTTGTACAGGAGACAGTCAAGACATGCAATTAAGGAACCATTTTTAGCTCTAGCACTTACAGCCTGGTGGTTCTTCCTTCAGCAAATAGCTTTAATTCTTTGTATTGCACTGAAGTACAGAACCCCAGTTTCTGATCCTAATTCTGGGATAACCTAAGCTGTGGATCAGCTTTACTTATTGCTGTGAGTAGACCCACGGATATCAGTAGACAACATTACACCACATTACGCATATTTATACGTTCATGGTATCACAATATAATGTATGATAGTACAAAAGTAAAACCAATGTAATACAACCTACTGTGGTACCTAACATTTATTGTTATAATATGTGATGTGTTATGTGATATATATGTGTGCATACTTTTTTTAAAATTAATTTTTTTATTGCATTTCAGTAGGCTTTTCTTTTCTTTTCTGGCAGATGGTGGCAGTTGCCATATTACTGGGCAGGAATAAAACTCTATGACCTTGTGGCAGGAAATCAGTGTCTGAAAAGCAGTTATGTCCTTAGCAAGTCAAGAGCCTTGGAGTACTTTCCAATGCTACGCAAAGACAAGCTTGTTGGTGCTATTGTCTACTATGATGGTATGTTCCGTTTCTGTGCTTTCCTTATTGTGCTGTATGTCAAGAAACACAAGTGTGCAGCTATAGATTATGTATGTAGACTCTAAAAAGGAAGAAAAACAATCTGAAGGATTAAACTTGCATCCTAATTTATATCGGCCAAATGCTTATTCTGCTCACTAAGGTAACTTATTGAATGCAGAAGAGAATATACCGTTTTCTTGGCTAGTAGGTATAGTGATGCGTGAAAGCAGTCTGATGGTTCTGGTGACTGTCTACAGCTTTCCAGTTTATATTACATGATTTTGAGCCTAGATTGGCTCTTTCTGAGCAAATACTACACATATGTGGTACTTGATGCTTCAGTTTGCTCTGTTTATAGAAGTTAAATATCCTCATGGCAGAGACTGAATAATACAAATGATTCCTAATCAGTTAATAATGAAATGTTGTTAGGTTTCTGAATCCTGTGTTTACTTCAGACTTAGCTTACCTTTTTAATAAAGCCAGTGTCCTTACTATAAAGTATACTATATAGAACACTTCTTGCAAGTGATTGGATTGAGCACTTCTCAGACTGAACAATTCTGACAAGGTATTGTAGGTAGGGAAAAAAAGTATGATCGTACTGGTAAATTAAATGGTTTGCTGTAGCACTTTTAGTATGAAAATAGTTTCAAACCTGTCCAGATGATTTGGCTTCCAGCTGTGATAACATTGGATTGAGTCAGGTCTGGATTGTTATGTGTTGGTGGTGGTGTGGTGTGTGTGTGTGTGTTTTTTTTTTTTTTTTTTTAACCCCCCTCTCCCCCGCCAGTAGGATGGGTCACTCTGAAGAGAGAACTTTCATTGTAATTATAATCAAACAGCAGATATTGCTATAAGGCTTGAATGCGTTCTGTTACAGCCTCTGTATTTAAAGGGTTCCAGATTCCTGAGGGGAAAAATGTCTCTAGCTCAAAGTTGTAATGTATTTAATCTATTGCATGGGATTCAGTTTTAGCTATATTTATGTGTGTAGCAGTTGCACAAAATCAGTGCCCGTGTTAGAGGGAGAAAACAAAGATGCTTTCTGGAAGCTTTTTAATGTTTATTTGAAAAAGAATGATGATTTGTAATAGAAATTAAATTACTGCAGTTGTCCAGAACAGCAATTTTCACGTTCAGAAGTGCTCACGTATCATGTTTGGGATTGTCACTCTTGTTTGTGATACAAGAGCAAGTAAGTTTTTTGTTCTGTTTGAATCCATACAGTAAGTTTAGTGGCAAGTCTCTGGCCTAGCTGTATATGTAGAGAATTCCCGAAACCTGGCTTAAAATTCTATGGATAGACGAGGCAACTTGAAAAGAAAATTGGACAATGATTAGTTGATTTCCTTAACGAATGACTACCTGGACATTTTGCTAATCCAAAATATTAGTGCTTTTGTTGATGCACAGGTGTCCTGAGTTTTATCCAAACTGCTATGTCTAGATACCTACCAACATCACGAGCTGCATCCCTAAACAGTCAGAGCTTAATTGTTCTGTAAACTGAACAGAGTTTCTACTTTAAAAAGTAATACTGTATTTTTAATAATACTGAATTTTGTACAAATTTTAGATGCTGAGAAGTTCACTGCTCTGTTTGAAGTGTATGCTGTCATAACTCTTTTCTTGGTGCACTTGGTTATGTCTGCATATCCAACATATAAAATTCAGATTTGTATACTGTTTCACATTTTTCCCTTCCAGGAGAGAAAGGTTTTGGGTTTTTTGTTGTTTTTTGTTTTGGTAAAACTTTCCCAACAACCGGGCCAGCTTGGTGACTTCAAAATACCAAATATGTGCAGGACAGCAGGGCAAAAACGCCGTAGATTCCTTGCAGGCTTGGAGGAGCCCTCGACAGAATAAATAGCTTGAGTACTGATTTACTTCAGTAGTGGCACAGTTCTCGTTAGTTTTTATGCGAAGATGTAGTTTTTGACCTTTGGCAGCCAGAAAGGTCTTCACACGCAACTGATTATAGAGGTAGTTTTTTTCCCTTTTTAGAACTACATTTACACTATTCATCAGCTTATCAATAGGTGCTTTTGTACAGGGAAGGAAGTAGAGAGGGACCCTTGTAACACAGTGGGCTCAGATGGTACTTATGAGGCCTCTGGTGAAAGAACAACATGCCGATAATTGCAAGTTGTCTGGAATGGAGCTCAACATAATATTTATTCTTGTACACACATATACACACATACCTATATGCATAGGTTCTTATATGGAAAAAGTGTGAAATTTAAAGGGAAGACTTCCATCTCCTATCAGAGATCAGTAAACGTTATCCTCTCTATTGTCTTATTTTAAGGAAATAGGAGGCTGTTTAGAAGCAAAATCTGATATGGGATCGTGGTAGTTTGAGACTGTGCCAAACCAAGGTGAAAACTTTGTATATTGTAACAAGAGCTGCTGCAAACAGCATACCTAAAAGTCATTCAGCTTTATTTTTTCATTATCATGAGCCATTTGTTCCCTTAAACAGCTTTAAGGTGTTGCAGGAGTATGTAAGAAAAAACAAGTGGTTAACTGTAATTATAAGCAGAACGCTCCTCTGAGAAGCGTAATCTATTGAAGTTTTGTTCTGATTAAATAGACAGTTTAGATGCACCACAGCTATTTACTCTTCCAGTGTTCTAAAGATACATGTTTAGAAAGTGAAGCTAGCCTTTAAGTTCCTTGGACAAAAAATGCTTTTAAGCTATGTTGCAGTATCTCTAAGAATTCAGCACCAAGATAAAAATGCAGTCTTTTGGAGGAAAACATCTGTGCAGCAATGCAATGCAAAATTCTGTGTATGACAAATACCTCTGGTTTTGTTTCCTTCCTGAGCAATAGGAAACAAACCCATACTTTATGTATTGTAAATACAGGAGGGCAAAAATAATTTAAAAAAAGTCTGAAATGTATGAAATAGTGAAGGGCAGTTTAAAGAAGACTGAGGTTTGTATAGTCACTCTGTTTATTCCTGTAAGTTTCATTAAAAACAGGTGCTGGTAGAGACTCTCATAACGTCCTTTCAGTGGAACAGCTGCCGTGCAAACCCACCTCTGGTTAGACTTTTGGGGCTCTAGTTTGGCAAGAGAGCTCAAAAACAGACTTTTAAGTTTTGCTGCTAGTGAACCTGCTTGTTTAGGCCAGTATATCTGGTCTTATTTTGCTTTCCTTAAGGGACTCTGGACCACTAGCGTTAAGTTATCCATGCTTTTATGCAGTTTAAAGAAATGTTGTTTTGCAGCAAGCCCCTCAAGCTGCAAAAAACAAACAGCCCCCCCAAAACAAAACAAACAAAACCCACCAAACCTTCAGCTGCCTATTAACCATTGGATGAATAAAATATTTCCTGAAGGACTAAGGTATCAAATTTGTGAGCTCATAATATATGTTTAAGTGTTTTGAGATTATATCTAGGCCAGAGTAAAAATTTTCCAGCTAAAATGTTAGATCGGTGCTTGACATGCCGCTTTCCAGAGTGAAATTCTGTCTACAGTAACATGCACCACAATATTTCTTGGTGGCTCAACCTGTTGCCCACAGCATAGGTGGGGGGCATACTGCATTTTAATTGGTTTATCTTAATCAATTAATGCATTAATCTCTGTTCTGTCCACAGTAGGCTTGTTTGTAAAGTCATAATGTGTCAGCAAGCACACTTTAGATCTTCTAAATTGTTATATTTGTGTTCTTAGCCACATACTTTTATACCCTAAATCTGGAGTTGTGGAGGACAAAAGGGAAATGGAGTTGATCTTGAAAACTGGGGAAGGGAACGATAGGATCGATCAACACCCCATTTACTGCTTTTACCAGAATTAAAGCCACAGAGTAGAGCATTAAATAATAGCAAAACAACATTTAAATCTTAGTGTCGTATCTCTTCCTTCTGTCCTTCTTATCTTGCCCAAATAAAATGGCTCTTTAAAAATGGAGCATCTTAACTGTTTTTACGTATGTAATTAAGTGTAGTTTTGTCGTCTTTTCTTGTCGGTTCCTGACTCTGTCATACTTTGTATCTGCAGTGCTTAATAGCACCTACAAGCAGCGTCTCACTTTTTGGCATGTTGCTTATTGCCACCAAAGGGAAGAATTTAACGTACTGATTATGTAAGTTGCTTTCTTATTTGATAAAACCACTTGTCTAGTTATTTACTTATAGGTGGCAATATTCTTTTGCAAATGAAAGATCAGAAATGCTTTCTTGTTTTATTTCGTAGTTGTTGATCAAACTAGTGGCTTGTCGAATAATCCATTATTCATGAACGTGTTCTGTTCTGAAATGTTGCTCTGGTTGTCTTAATTACATTTTAAAAATTGTTTATACAGGCAAAAAAAAAAAAATGGTACATTATAAATGTTGGAAGTACCAGCAAGAGCAAATCACAGACTTTACCAGAGGCTATTCTTGCTCTGTCTCAGCATCAGGAAACTAAAGCATATGTTGGATGTTAGCCTGGGTGTACACAATGTGTCCTATTTATTCAAGGTTTCCTTTGAAGCCACAACTTACAAGTTTGTTTCTTAGGGGTACATGTCAGACTTCATTTAGCATTTGTTGGTATTAGGATACTCCTGAATAGCAAAAAGGCAACATTTTGGGGGAAGAATGTGGCTGCTATCTGAGCAGTGATCTGTCAGTTTCATTTATGTAGCTCAAGGAAAATTGGAAAGGAGGCACTGCGGAGAAGCTGAAGCTAGCATCTCAAGATCACACACAGAATTATTTTAAAGCATTTTTAAATGGAAGAATTAATCTCCATTTAAATTGTACATAGCTCGTTATGTTAAGGACTGGGAAAAGCATGAAAGCAGAGATCCAACTGACCGGAATATTGCAATTAAAAGTGTTTAGAAATGCTTGCTAATTCTAAGTGGCAGAAATCTTTTTAAGGTGCATTATTTTGTATCGTTAGGTTCTTGTAGACTTTTTCTGTACGTGTTTTGCCTTGAAAGATGAGCCTTAGGTGCATAAGGAAAATCTGTGTTCTTGAGTCAGT